AATCACAAAATTCTATCTCCAAAAAAAGAAACAAGTTAAAAACAATAATGAGATAGAAAATATAGACCATTGATGAATGAAAAATACATATGAAGTAAAGAAAGGAGGGATGGACAGAAAAGAAAGAGAAAAGGAAAATAAATAGGAAAAGAGTCACACATACACATTGGAGTGCTTCTGGTTCACCTTACTATGATTTAAGTAAGCACTATCAACCTGCTGAGAGCTACCACTCTGCTCTTCAGTCTTTAAAGTTGAATTAAGACAAATGCTTGAGCTGTGGATGTGGTCCAATGGTAGCTAGCATGGAAGAAGCCCTAGGTTCAATCCCTAGCACTGAAAAAAAACTAAGGATAAATAAAAAATTAGAAAAATAAAAGAAATGTAAAAGGACTCTTGGAAAACTAGACCATTTTCAAAGAGAAGAATTTGGAAGGGAAACATTGGGAAATAAACGTATTATTATCATCAGAGGGAAAAATTCATTGCATCTAATCAATAAGAATGAACAAGTTCTTGGAAAATATGGACATAATAAATGAAAATCTCAGTAGAAGGGCTCAACATTTCACTATTAGGATAAGAATTTCTACTGTATCAAGCTGATAATAGAAAAAAATAAAATAAATGAAAAAATTAGGGGCTAGAAGTTTGGCTCACTGTTAGCATGCAGGAGAGAGGGGGAGAGAGAGAGAGACAGAGACAGAGAATGATCATTTCAGTATTTGCAAAGGCATGTCAAAAACTGTATAAATTACTATTCACCCAAAATACAATGCACCCAAAGTATTTCATTTGGCTTTAAAAATCATGTTGCCAGAGAAATGTTAACGAAATGAGAAAATGATTGCAACATAAAGTTAGATGATAAACTTATATAAATTTTACATACATATGTGTATAAGAACAGTAGAATTGGTAACACTACTAAACAAATGTGTATGTGCCTATGTACACATGAAGGCTAAAGGTTAGAATTGGGGTGTCTTCCATAATCACGCTCTACCTTAGTTATGGAGGCAGAATCATTCAGGGGACCTGGAATTTGAAGCTGGGGGCCCAGTCAGCCCCAGAATCCGTCTATTTTCACTTTTCAGCAACAAGCACTCCGCCAGCCAAAAACAATTTTTAAAAATTCTCCCTATTTTCTACAATAAACCTGAAAATTCCAGGATCTACCAACTCAATAAATATTGTTCTACGGTGACAAATTGAGTGCAGCTGTGACAGAACTCCCTTGTAATCCCAGCACTTGGGGAGGCAGAGATAAGAAGCATCAAGAATTAAAGGTCACCAGCTGCATGGGGAATTCGAGGCCGGCGTGGGCTACATGAGATCCTATCGGGGGAGGACCCAAATAAAAAGCTGTTCTCTGAAGTAAAAATAAAATAAAATAAAGCTGTTTAACTACAAAAAAAAGAAGGGCTTAACAATAAAGTTTAAAAGCTCTCTCAAAAAGCCAGGTGTGGTGGCACACACCTTTAGTCCCAGCACTTAGGAGACAGAGGATGGTGGATCTCTGGAACTCAAGGTCAGCCTGGTCTACAGAGAGTTCTAGGCCATCCAGGGCTACAGAGACCTTTTTCCAAGAAAAAAGAAAACAAAAAAATATATACCTCGGTAAATATTGAAAAATACTTTTAATTGGCAATAAGGTAAATAAAACATGGAAATGAGAGAACCATACCAGAGGACAACTGAATTAAAAGAACTCTTCAAAGAAGAGAGGAGAAAGGAATCAATGAAAGAGAGGAATCAATGAAATTACTGAAACTTTGAAGAAGATGAAGGAAACCGGTTTCCTGGGTTAAATGGCCCATCAATTATCTCGTACAATGAATGGAATGTAAACTCAAACCAAAGAATGAATGACTGTTAATTTCTAAATGGTGGGGATAGTGAAAATTCTAACACAATAAGTAAAATATATATGACATTTTTGATAATAAGAAAATGATTAGGTTCAGATTTCATAGTGACTGCATTGGTTCAAGAAGCTTGTTGACAAAACTTAATTCTGAGGGAAATTTATTTTCAACCTAAAAAGTTACAGTTGCAGTTCCAATCAAGTTTAGGGGTAGAATAAGGATATTTTAATACATTTAAGATCACAATAAGGGTAGCCAAGCATGGTGGCACGTGTCTTTAATCCCAGAACCCAGGAGGCAGAAACAGAAGGTTCTCTGTGAGTTCAAGGCCAGCCTGGGCTAAACAGTGAGACCTTGTCTCAAAACAAACAACAAAAAAAAGATAGCAACAAAGAGGCTGGGGGGATGGCTGAGTCAGTAAAATGCCCCCTGGACAAGCACGAAGACTTGAGTGAAAAGTCCCAGACACTACCAAAGCACCAATTGGTAAACATCTCAGTGGTAGACCCTGTCTCAAAAAAAAATTAGAGGAAGTGGCTGAGGAAATTGGCTTAGCAGTTAAGAGCACTTACTGCTCTTGCAGAAGACTCAGATTTAGCTCACAGCACCCACACAGTGACTCAGAAACACTAGCAACCACAGTTCCAGGGGATTTGTCTTACTCTTATGACCACAGGCTCCTGTATACACACACACTCAGGCATGTGTATATACACATAAAATAAATAAATCTTTTAAAAGTAAGGTAGACACAAGAAAACAGCCCACAGAATCAACTAACCAAGGTTCATACAAGCTCACAGAGACTGAGTCAAAAATCACGGACCCTGTATGGGTCTGACCTAGGTCCTCAGCATATATGTTATGATAGTTGTTCTTGTGGGACTACTAACAGTGGAAGTGGAGGCCGTCTCTGACTCTTTTGCCTCCTTTTAGGACCCTTTTCCTCCCACTGGATTGCCTCATCAAGCCTTAATATGAGGGGATGTGCCTAGTCTTCTTATAACTTGATATGCTGTGTTTGGTTGATAACCCTGGGAGGCCTGCCCTTTTCTGAAGAGAAAGGAGGAGTAGACATGGGGGAGAAGGGAGGATGGGAGGATGGACTGGGAGGAGAGGAGGGAGGAGAAACTTC